AGAAATTACAGCGGTTCGTGATAACTGTTATTTGTATGATAATGATAATTCTATCTTTTTAATCAGTATAATAATATAGTTTAATTGCATATGAACCCACTGCAAATGGAATTTCATCTCATTTCCAAAGAAAGTCTGATGTAGATCTACATTAGTCTGAGATAACGTTTTATTTATTATAATTATCAGTCATCTGTATCATTGGCATTGGCATTTAAAAATGACCAAAAAAAAAACAATCAGTTTTGTTATCAAATAAAAATAATATAGATATTGTTTATATTTCTGAAATCGCTAATTGGAAATATCCGAACAAATGAAATTTATATTTTAAAAGGAAGAGTTTAACGAAAGAAATTTTAACTATTTCAGAACATTTATATTAATTTTCAATTTTTCAGAAGTCCATTAGTGGTCGAGTTGATAAAAACCACTGAACATTGGTTTGCACATGATCAACGAGCTGATCACGTGGAGTTTCTCTGGTTTTCTTCACGTGTCTAACATTTAAATAGGGGCCAATTTCCTATAAACAGTCTTTCCGTGAGGCACTCCCGTCTTGGCAGATCGTCTATGTGTTTTGTTGTCTTATTCCATTAATTCAATCTATTTTTCAGAATTTTAGAGCAAAATCTGTGCAGAATAACATTTTAAATAGTTTAAGACTAAAATATCCGAATTTTATTCTGCTCAAACGTCACACCAGCAAATACCTGGATAAGGTTTCAGCTGTTCTCGAATTCAATTTTCAAATTAAATCACTTCAAACTTTCTCGAAATCTTGTCTAATGGTTTTACTTTCAATTCTGTATTAATTTAAGAGCGATATAATGGATATAATTAATTAAATCTAATTAATTCAAATAAAAATGCTATAAATTAAATGCACGATTTGTCTCGGAAATAAAAAGTAAACACCCATTCCATTAGAAAACAGCATTGTTATCTGCATTACAATTCTACATTTCGTATTCATCTCCACGATCCACCCCTTGGTGACAAAAAAAAAGAACCACTAGAGATATTCTCCCATTCAACATTCTTTCATAATACTGCATTTACAAATTATCTAAGTTCGCAGCATCATTTATTTCTTAGATGTCTGTCTTTTTATCAACTGCTTTGTAGTATTTAGAATGAAACTTGAGGTCGTCGGCATTACTACCCGCCTACCCACTAGCAAGAACATTCATAAGATCCAGCAACGAACCTGCTTAATTCTTATAACCTGTTATGTTACAATTCTGCTTATGTTATTTTGGTTGCTTGTGCTTTTAGTTGGGTATTTAAAAATTACTTATGTAGCATAGAATTTCAATTGCAAAATATCAAATTTGTAGTCTGATGCGAATTTAAATTATTATTCTTAAAGACTGAATTGGCTTTAATTTTAATGTAATATAGAATAATAAAATTAGACATTTGATCTGTAAGAATATTTTATTCTATTTCTTTTGTGATGCAACTCGAGTTTCACGATTCACTTGAATTAATCCCTTGGTTTAGTCAGCGATCGTAAACCCAACTATGTGGAACCGTTGAAACAAGATTGTTGATTTAATTGATTTTTAAAGTAGTTTTAAGAGAACTGAAAGTAAATCAATGCAAGCAAATGTGACGAATTACCACATAAACTAAGTTATAAAGTGAAAATTAGTTTGTGTAAACATTTTTATCTCAGTCTGTGTAAATTCAGTTATTTATTATTATTTTAACTCAAATATTTTAGTCTTTCAATGCGTCAAATGTTAATTAACAATTTTATTATCATTGCTTTTGTTTGGTAAAGAGCAACACCATATACAACAGAGGCTTTAATGTTCACCCTCCAAATTACAATATCTCTTGAAAAATTCATTAACTCTAAACATAATGATTCTAATTCCTAATTAATTTCTAAATATATGTATCTAAAGCAAACTTCGAAGATAAATTGAAGAATTAAATACAATACTTTCTTAAGTTCTGTTTCTATAACAATGATTTTAAGATGCGAAATTATATTATTACCATTTTAATTTCAAAATTGTATTTTTTATAGATATAATTTTGATTCCATGGATAATATTAAATCTAATGCATATAACAATAGCTAATTTGGGTAAGTTAAATCCGTATTTTTAAACATAACAGTCTTTATAAGAATCAAAGTTAAATAATATTAAATTTTATCATTTGATAGAAAGCTGCACTACTACCTTTGAAAGAATTTCAGATGTTACACTCCCTACTGAACTATTAGATGATTCAGAAGTTTATGAGAGATTGACTCCTAGTGAATGTTACGATCTATGTTATAATAACGCGAAATGTGGAGGATATTTATTACATCATGTGATAGGAAGATGCGTTTTAGTAAGAGTTCATCCTGATGATCTTCAACAGCATTTATTAGAAGATGGCTTATGGAGTTATCACAGAAAGATTTGTTTGATGGGTAAACAATATAAAGGATGTGTTTTTTAATAATTTTTCTGTTTAATTCAAAATGATTAATTTAATTTAAAAATTTAACAGGAAAATTATGTCACCGTCAATGGTCTTTCGATAGATCTTCTGGTTATCAACTTTATGGATACGAAGACAAAATAATAAGAAGCGTGGAAACTGAAGATAGATGCATTCAACATTGTATTGGAGAAGAAAGTTTTATATGCAGATCGGCAAGATACGATCTTCATAACAAAACATGCGTTTTAAGTAGACACGATAGAAGAACCGCACCCGAAGCATTCAGGAAATCTCGTCAAAAATCATACTACTTAGAAAATCAGTGTATTTCTGGTAATATTTATGTTATTTTTGGAATACTTTTTTCTATCGTTAATGAAAACGTTTAAGACTAGATTTATTTTACAATTTTAGAGCCTGCAAAATGTTCATTTACGCCAAAGAAAGACAAAGTTATAGTACATAGACACGTACACGTGGAAAGAAACATTAAAACATTAAAAGAGTGTGAATTAATTTGCTTGAACCATTCGGATTTCATATGTAGAACATTTAGCCACGATGACAAACGTCATTTATGTATGATGACTCCGGAAGACTCTTACTCCGTTCAGACGGATTTTGGTATCACTAGCGAAGGGAGAACAATTTATGAAAGGGGATCATGCATCGAAGGTTAGTTAAAATATTATTAAAATAAAAATAGCTTAATATAATTTTTTTATGTTTAAATTCTTATGAATTATTGTTAGACTTATAAAATTAGGTTTTAAATTATTAGCATCTTGTCTTCTATCTAATTTTATATAAGATTAAAACACAGTGTTTTAATCTTATATAAAATTATCAGGTGGGATAGTTAAAAAATAACGTAAATTTGACGTTATTTTTTAAAATTTTTCATTATAAAACTGGGGTAATAACGTTTAATTGACGTAAAAATGTACAGTAAATAATCCCAACCAACCGAACAGACCTTATATCTACTATAGTTGTAATAATTATTGATTACTTAATGAATCTAATGCATATTAAAACACATTACCAATACAAAAAAGAACAGTTTTTCTGATTAATTACAATATTTAAGTATTACTATGCTTCTAAATAGTAGAATTTAAGTAGAGGCTTGCATTTTAACATAACATTTATTATCTTTATGTATTTTTTTAATTGTATAATTATGAAAATGCATGATTACTACAACCAAATGGGTAATGGCATCCTTAAGAAAAAGAGAAACATTATTAAAATATTACAAACAACAAGCTGTCGTGTCAAATCATAGATAAAGATCAAAGTACCGAGTTCATTGTTTTACACTACATTCTATTACTTTAAACAATAAGTTAATATATTAATTATGAAATGTTTAAAAATGGATTTCTTTATTAAGAATGTGTCTTAATCATTCAAATTTTATAAATTTACCTTTGTTCAACATACAATTTAAAAAAAAAATAATGGTGTTAAGCGAGCCTTGTAATTGCATAAATATGTTAAGAGTATTAAATTAAAAATATTCGCGTTTGAAATTTAGAATAATTCTTTAGATTCACGTGCGTGGAGATAGATGATTTATCATCCATTTCGAGGAACGTGAATCAATCTTCATCTTGGAACACCAATAAATCGCCAAGTAGTGAATTAAGATTTATTATAAGTCTTATGTAATTTATTTTCAACGTGTTTTAAAGCGTGCGAATAGAATGATTTATTAAGTCAAATATTAAAAAAGTTAGACACGATTTCATAAAATAAATTAATATTATATTTATCTTTGTCTTCATTTCTAATATAAAATTTACTGCAATCTTGAAAATATATCGAATATTCGGTAATATTTTCCTCTATTTTTGATCGAATTTTACAAAATAATTCGTAAATTATCATTATTTTATCACGAATTCGTTCGTATTCGAATCCTTTCATAAGGAATTATTTAAAATATATTAGCGAGATTGCGGCCGAAGTTTTCATCTGTAAAACGTGAACGTCGAACGTCGAGCGCCGCTTACAAGACAGTGGCGCTCGACGTTCGACGTTCAAGTTTTAGAGATGAAAACTTCGGCAGCAACCTCGCCATTTTTTTTCATTAATACTTCCGTTGGTGATTTCATTGTGAAAAGAGAAAACAGGTGAGATCGTTGTTGTTGAAGACAGTTCTTCGGACACTGACGTCAAGATTAGAAAACTAATGTTACCGATTCGATGGTCATGAACTAGTAAAAAGGAAGAATTGATCATGTAGGTATTTCATGACAATAATTCGTGACCAATTTTACTTTCCTTCAGGTTAACACGAATAGATTGTTCGGTAGAACAAAAAATAACATTCGTGATCGCGTAACCGAATATGATTTTTTTTCTTTCGTCTTTATTGTTGTTAAAAATTCTTCGCTGAAGCACTGACCTGCATAAAATCTGATTTAAACTATTGTAATTATATATAATACAAATATAAAAATGAATTTTTCCCTTAAACAAAATTAATAATTGTTTAGAATAAGGTGGGAAATGTTTGTAGTGTTCTACGTGTAGTGATTTCGGTATCATTTTCAATNAATATTAATAGAGAAATATTTATGTTGCAAATTACAATAAAATTATTAAATTTTTAAATAATTAACATGTTTAATCATATAAAAATACATTTGAAAATCATTATTTATGTTCAAATAAGTTTTAAAACTGTAAAATTAACACTTGTCCTTCTAAAATAGAATTTATAAGAATGGAAACTTTATAATAATTCCATGTAGTTTTCCATAATATCTTAGTTAAAATTATCTGTGAATGAGCATTATTAAGTGAGTAAGTAAGTGAGGAAATTCTGTTGAAAGATTCGATACTATGCTTTAATGCCTTTCTCTCGAAACCAGTTATTAAGCAAGTATCTTCTTCAAAACAAGTTTGCTTATCATATTAATTGCCATTTTATAAAACTCGATTTTTATAAGATGACATTGTTTGTTATCATAAACTAATATCAGCTATACGCATTACAACGGAATATTTTGTTTTTTTTTCATATCATTAAGAATTTTTTAAATAAAAAACATTGCTTAAAAATATATTGTTCTTACTCTTACTTTCTTTAAAATTGCTCTAGGATAATTTTGAGGCATACTTTTTCCTCATTACTAAAACATTAAGTTCTTAATTAAATAATAAAGTTTTATTCATTAACTTTTTAATAAAATATCTGAATTTATAAACAAATTTATTCTACGAAAATGTTAAATACTTTTAAAAGTTTTTTTAATTGTAAAGATGAGTATTTTTTATTTAATAAATTAATTATGTATAAAAGATTATTATTATTATATCTGTTTTTATGAGACATTAAAAGGAAAAATAAAGTGTTAAAGCAAAATTTTTATAACAAAAACACTGTATACGTATACACTGTGTATATAGCCAATCTTTAGACGTGATGACAATAAACTCTTAAATACCCCTCTATAACACTGTTGATAATTCCGTTTTATATGAAATTCATGTTGTACGAGTCAGTTAGATTTTACAAATACGTGTGCCGGGCTGTGAACGGCTCACGTATTTGTAAAATCTAAGTGACTCGTACAACATGGAATTCATATAACACGGAATAATCAACAGTGTTATAGGGGGGTCGACTGTAATTCATTGTTTTTAATAGAAAACTATTCTTCAGTTAAAGTTTTAAAGAGAAATTACTTAGTAAATTAAATCTTAAAAATATTTCTAATTAGATTTTGATATAAATAATATAATTTTCTATTTTATTTTTAATTTTATATATTATTACTAAACTTAATCAAATATAATTACGCTAACAGAATTATTAAAGAAAAAGTATATTTAGCATTAATAGTAAGCTCTGTTAATATAGGCCTATATAAAAGATAATTTTAATAAACGTTTCTTTCTTATTATAACATCCTTAAATTGTTAAAGTCAATTTACTTTTATTCTTTGTATAGCAAACTAACAGATCTTCGAGTAATGTGTGCAATTATATTCATAACCTCATAAATATAGTGAATCTATTAAACGTCATCATTTAGCATACAATGGGTTAAGAGATTAGGTACACTGTATTGAAATGAGTTAGTTAACCTTCCTTCTTTTTCTTGCACATCTCATTTGTCACACTAGTGGATGAGAACGATGCCATTTTCGTGGTCACGATCTAACGATTATGCGGTACATTATTAGTGAGTGGGATCATCACTATTTCAGTAACAGGATTTAGATTATAGTGATATTATTAATTATTAATTCTTACGACTGTTCTACTTAGTATAATTTCTAAAAGAATTGATTTTTAACAAGTTAACATCCGAATATTATCTTGTAAAACGTATAGAAAATAAAATACTTTAATGTTTTTAGTAAGCTTTCGATGCTTTTATTTTAAAATAAAAAAATACAAATTTCGACAATACGTGATGCGTGAGTTGAATTTATGTTCGGTGCTGCATTAAATTGAAATGGTTAAAATAGTCCACTGGTTTTTAAAATTAAAATGCACAGTGAACATAGTCATGCATCATAGATCGATCATTTTATCGCGGATAGTGATTGTAATTTCGATGAAAAATATCAATTTTATAATAATAAAAAAATACACTAACTTGTATAGGTATGGTCAAGAAGGTTAAAAAAATCCATGAATTATTTATGAATTTTATTTTTCATTTAAACCTGAAAGTAAGATTTATACGTTTGATAAGTCCTTGCTTTTTTTTTTCTTTAGTGGAAATGAAATGCGAAGCTACAACAATGACTGCCATTATTAAAGTCATCACTCCATTTAGAGGAAGAGTATATGCTTTGGGTCATCCTTACGAATGTTACGCTGTTACTGTAGGATCTAACGGAGAAGTGTCGTTATCAATGCCTTTACATGGCAGGAAATGTGGTACAAAAAATCTAGTGAGTTCAATCCTTTGAAAATTCGTTTAAACATGAAAAAAATAGAGTAATATTTCCGATAAATTTTTATAAAAATATCTTCTAAATATAGTTTTTTTTTTTTTAACTTGAATACGGAGGAAATGTTAAATTTTTTTTCACGGAAATCTGACTTTGCTCGAAATGATGATGGCCGTTGTTTTTAGCTCAGTTATAAATCATATTTTATCTCCATAAGGAAACATGCTTTGAATGCTGTATTAACAGTTTTTTATCTGTTTTTTTTTTTAAAAAAAAGAGAGTTGGTTAAATATTTAAGTGTATATTTATCTTGATAGGCGAATGGAACTTTCACAAATAGTGTTGTTGTCCAGCATCACCCGTTTATTCTACGCACATCAGATAGAAGAATTAACATTGCTTGCGATTATGAAGAAGTTCAAAGGAAATTGAGAGGTGGAAAACAGGTATTAGAAGGGTAAGTATTCTAATTTAAATACCATTTTGAATACAAACAATAAATAAATAAACTGGTTTACAATTTTTTAATTTTAAAATTATACTATTTAAATCTATTATAAACAATTTTCGCATGAAATTTTTAATATAATAAATACCTTCTAAAGTTTTAGCTTACATAATCTATAATTAGTAACAGTATATTATCAATTTCATGATTTTAGCATATGTTATTTATTGTTTTAATTAGATACTCCAAAACAATATCATTATGAATTATTCAACAAATTATATATTGTAAGTGTTATTATGTATTATTAATTCCAGTGATCTACAGAGTTTAACTCAAGTTGTGACGGGGTTAGCACCTACACCACCAGTTAGGTTACGCGTGTTAAATTCATCAGGAGAAGAAGTGAACGGAGTAGATTTGGGTGAACCACTTTACTTGAAAGTAGAAATGATGGACGAAAGTAATTATCATATTTTCCACATTATTATAATTTATACGAGTATTTTAACTTTATAGTGTATATCATTTATGTATTTTTTTTAAGGTGTTTTTGGAATTTTTGGGAGCGATTTGGTTGCGAGAAGTGGACAAGGGACAGAAACAGTATTACTAGTTGATGACAGAGGGTAAAGGGAATGTATTGTATTTTATTATAATTTAAAACTCTGTGAATATTTTATTAAATTTTTTTGAATATTTATAAAATATTTATGTGTAATAATATGTAATGAATATTTTTATCATCTTATATAGTGTATATTTAACAATTAAAGGCTTTCTAAAACTGTTTTTTTAATTCATATTATAATAGTTGTCCACTCGAACCAACGGTATTTCNTAACTTTCAGACCTTAAAAAAACCCTTTCTAATGATTCTTTACTTTATATTTTGTGTGTTGACATCACTACTTTTTACTGATAAAAATTTATGATGTATTAAACAAATTATGGAATAAAAATATTAGATAATAATTATCTTCTTACCTTTCTAATCCTTAAATTGGTAAGTGTTTTAATGAATATTATCCTTACCTTGAGGCGTGTATTACTGAGCATAAAGTAATAATGACTTTTTATCAATATTGAACGTTATAGAAAAATATTTTCCGCATTCTTTAACATTTGTTATCTGTCATTAAAAATGAACTTTTAATTCGGCAAAACCTTTTTTTTTTTTCTTCTTTTCCCATATGAAACAGTTAAATGTATCAATTTTCACGAAGCTTTCCTATGACAATGACCTTTTCCTTATCTAATTAATGTTACGTGTTTAATTACATTAATTAAATAATAAATTTTAAAAATTCAATAGGATATATTAAAATATAAAACTTTAGAATCCAATAAACTTATTAATTTAATTACATAACTCATTAACAAGTTCAATATATATATATATATGATATAATTAGAAGTTCATTATTAAGTCTATATTAAGAAAAGAAACAATATTAAATTCTATTTTTAGTAATAAACTTTAAGATAAACGTTGTAAACGTGTCAAAATTTGATTTTTCTCACGTTAGCTATCATATTAAAGCGAAACAGATAAGCTGTTTCAATCAAGTGTTCGTCTATAAGAAAAAAGTTTTTTTTACTTTAATGCAGAAACCTAAGTAAAATACAGGATTTTACTTATGACCGATAAGAAATTAAACTCATAAGCACGTTACCAGGCGTGTCCGGAAATATAGAGACCGCACCCATGATAGCTGTATTCTAAAATAGGCTGTAAATCATATTATTGTCTTTTTTTTTAACTCATCTAAATAAAATCTTTACGAAATTTTAATAAAAATATGTAAATTTTTAAATTTTAAATCAAAATTACAATTATATTTTTTTTTTTAAAATAACATTGTTTCAGTTAAAGAAACACATAAATGTATATATTAAGTGTATCACATTAACAATACTATAAGGCTATATCAAATTGTAAGAAAAAAAAATAAAATAAAATTCAGCTTTTAGGGGGTATATTATTTTCTGTTTTTCTATAGTCTAGTATATTTCTACTTAAGAGTTGAATCACGTCGTGCCAACACCCTTAAATATTCCATAAGATGTCAATTTTCATTATTTTCGGTGTTTCTCTTAGAACAGTTAGGATATGCACTATTGCATTCTATTTTTCTTCTTATATGTTACATCATTAAATTTATCTAACAATAGTACATTACGCTACATTTGCAGCCTTTGACATAACTCGAAAAAAAATTATTATTTTTTTTATTCGATTTGACCGAAACTTTTATAGAACTAACCATACACTGGTTTAGGAAATATATTTAAAGTGTAAAAGCACTTAAAATTGTAGAAAACTCACTCCAACGATACTATAAAATGTATAGAATAAAGGAAGAATTTAATTCTTGAATATAAGATATAATTATAAAGTAGTGTCCTATTGAATTTGTGATTATATTTATGATCGTGTGCATTTAAAAAATGAAAATTTTGAGTAAATAGTGTTAGAGGATTGGAATCTTTTTATTTAAGTTGCTAATAATTTCTTGGGTGGGTCAGCTCTCTATACTCCAGTATTTGTTTGCTTGTTTCAACAGGTTGTCCTGTCACAGCTAAAAACCACGTGATTCACTTCAGGCGATGATCGGGTTAATAACACCTTGTATTGGTCTTCCTGATTACACATCACATGGAAAGTTTCGGCCGAAAACCATACTTACGCGGCGAAATTCGATATCTTTCTTCAGAGGATAAAATTACATTTAAAACAGTTTAACCGCATAATTGAAGATAACTTGATATTATAATTATTCGTAGAATAATGATCCTCGAAATGTATTTTTCTTTTATATAATACTTTTCCTATTATTACTTCATTAATATATATTACTATATATAATATATTATATAATATATTACTTCATTAATAATATATATATATTATATTATAGGATATATCTTATAATTTCTGAATAAAAGTATAATGTCTTTTGAGTTCTGTTTTCAATGTCTTTATAAAAATTCAACGAAAAGACTCTAATGTTTAATAATAATTATCATAGTTATAAGTTTTTAATTAGCATATTTATCGAGAGTTATTATCTCTTATATAATTTCAAAATCAGTTTTCTTTTTTTTACTACGGATAATTAAAAAAAACCGCATTACAAAGGTGAAAGACCTGAACATTCACAATATGAAGGACCCAAGTTGATGCCTGACACTTCCCACGCGCGATTTAATTTTGCCAAGAGCCAACCGACCCTTCAAAAAGGTTCAAATGATGTGGGCGATTCAAAAAATTTTTCATAAAAGAAAATTTGTAAAAGTCTCTTAACAATTTAAACATCATTCAATACTACTTATGTATGGGGCTGTTACATATTATTACGGGATTAGTTAGATAATTTCACTCACTAATCTGAAGATTAAGATTTATTTTTGTGATGAAGTGACTTTGACCCTTTGGTTACGTCAGTTTGCAAGGAATGCCGGGTGATGAAATGTAGAATGCTAGACGGCTTCATCTGAAATTCAAGCAACGTAGCACCAGCTGCGTAGGGGTTTGACTTCCGCCATTTTTGTTTTTATATAACCTGTACCTTACTTAAAATGAAGAATAAGTTTATGCACTTATGTTAATTCGAGAAAGTGATAAAATGCACTTACAAATGAATAATATATTAAGCATTCGTGTATAAAATTATATTCTTTCGTAAGACTTTTATAAATGTGTAAAGACCTATATATTATGTAGAATTCGCTTAAAGTATTATTGTAACATCTGAACAGAAAGTATCAGCGTTATAAAACAATAACTTCGTTTATTGTTATGGTATGTTTTCATGATTCTTATGCGTGACTTTATGTTTCTCTGTCACAATAGCCTACATATTTATGCAACGGACATTGTTCACTGTGTTTTTTTCACTTTTATGTAAAGAAATAATTAAATAAAGAAAGAAATTATCGTATATTTTTATTTCTAAGAAGCAAATATTATTATTTTATTCAAACGCTAATTCATTGTTCGCTTATACTATATTAATCAATAATAAAATGCAATTCTCTTAACTCTATGAATTTTTGTGATTACTTTAACGAGTTTTTAAAATATCATAACAACAATATAGTAACTATTACTAGAGTTTCAACTACTCGTGGAATTTAAAAGATCGAAAACCTCATTAAAAAGCGGTAACTTGGAATGGCAAAGTTTATATCCTCACGGTTAGTTCAGATGGGAAGCCAAGAATTTGTTAAGGACAGAGGTCATAATTTTGACCTAACCTGGGTACAATGAAGAGAAGGCCTCTTAATCACTTCTCATTGTAGTTCCTTACACATCACTACAAACACCTAATTAACATCTTTGGCATTGGAACAATAGTGTCCCTTTGTAAGCCTCCGGACTTCCCTTTGGTCATAAATGTCATAAATGTATTTTTCTTTTTAAGTAAATTATATTTTTCTTTCTTTCGGAAAACTTTTCTAAGAAATCTAGCGAAAAGAACAACAATATCTTATGATTTCCATCACTTACCAAATGTTTGTATTGATATCTTTTAATAATTTTACACATTCGATCAATTAAAAAGGCATTCTTATCAATAAAGGAAAGATCACTAAGCAACAGCGATTAGTTGGGAAGAACTCTTACTACTTGTTCCCAGTTGATTTTTATCTCAACCTGAAAGATTGACGCCTTTGGGCTATCTTCTTTAGATATTGTTTTAATGTTTACTTCTAAATATAAATAAAAATTACAATACATATAATTTACTTTAGGCCCTATATAATGTCATTTAAAATATTTTAATAGAAAAATATATGCCCGAGAATTCAGAATTTCCATCAAAGTAGGTAGATCTTACATACAGAACTGTAATTCATTATAAATCGTCATGTTAATGTTAATAAATTACGATTTTAAATTAATGCTATCTTATATTGTAAATAGTGTATTAGAATCCTGAATTTTTGTATTTTTAAATATTTAAGACCATGAAATTCTTATTTATTATGAAACTTTGGTAACTGATAGTCTAGTTAATAAATGTACTTCATCCTATCTAACTATAAATTAAATTTCGCAGAATAAATCTCTTAAATTAATTAATTTTAATAAAAATAAAATGTTTAAAAGACTAGAGATTGAAGAGAAGCGAGTGTAAACATCGCCTTGACACTGACCCTCGAAAGAAAGTAAAAGCTTGGTACTCAGATCAAGGACTCAAAGCAACAATGTCGTCAGACAGGTCTGGACAGAGCAACAGTCACTCAGGGTTAGCAGCCGAAGTGGAAGAAGATGGGGGAAAGAAAGGGGAAGAATCGTCACGCATGGACGAAACGTTCCGTGTTGGTACCCTTGTTGACGAATCAGAGCTACGGAAAGAGAAAGTTAGTAAGACTACTTTGGATCCTCAAGGGGGAACGGTTGCCTGGTCATCAATCCCAGAGAACGTTCGGAGAACTCATTCGTCTTAGCAAATAGAATTAAGAAACTTTCGTATTTGTGGCCTGGCAGTAGGCCACTGTGTCCATAGCGGGTATTCCTGTGAACACCTACTGGAAAAGAAGGTATGTAGGTTTATTTGTAGGGGTGTAAAAACAGCCGCCAACGTGGCACACCTTCGTTTTCTTTACTAGGCCTACTAATTAGCTTAAGGGTATCTAACAATCCTGCACGTTACGAATGATAGAAAAAATTAATAGGACTAAACAAATAACCATATTTATAAAAAGGGACATTATGCTATCTCGGATAAACTCGAAAATTCTTACGAAAAAGCATGTTATTTTTAACTATAACACTAAACCTAACCATAACGGATCTCGATTAGTATTTAACACGAGAGACTAAATAATAAAGATCGAGTAAAGTTTACATCGTATCATAATTCTAGATAATAACAACGTATATTCCAACTACGATGGTATCAATATGAAGGACAAGTTGTTATCATCAATTTTTTCTTCAACCCTAATATTACTCTCCCAACAATATATGACGTTTCCAAACATTTTTGATCCGCCTCACTCTCTTATTCATTCCTTTATCTCAAAATCAATACATTAAAAAAACTTCACAGATAACTCGTTTCTGGCGCCTCTTAGACTTTTAGTTTGTGTAAGTAAACATTTTCTGCAAACTTTATAAATATTCCATTGTACATGGACACATTATCGAGTTTATTATTGTATGCATTTTCGTTTTTTCCTACATCCAAGCAGGAGCTTATATTTCAGAGAGAAACAACAGGACGGAAGTCCTTTGTTTACAAAATTTCCTATTTAAAAATGAAATAATTAGATCTAAGTTATGATATATTTTAAAAATAAAGCTAAATATAATATAAAACCGAATCTAAAATTAGATTATCTTACCTTGACATTCGTTTCGGGTTCTTATGGTACGATATGCACCGATTAATACTTACTCAACAATTCATGCACCGTGTGCAATATCACCATAAAATACCATAGCGGTTAAACTTAAATTGCACAGAATCTTCCATCTGAAACGACTGTTAGTACTTTTGGAATAAACTGTGTAACCTCAAAGGTTATTTCAAGTCATTTAAATTTACATAACGTTATTAAATCATATATTTATTAATATATAAATCTTATTTGATCTAGAAATGTGTGAAAAAAACTGTTGTAATTATTATGTAATTTATAATTTATATATTTTATGTTACTAGACACGCAATTCCGAGCGAAATCCATTAAGATTTATATATAATCGAGGTGATCTTCATATGTTTACATTCTATTTTTCAAGTTGTAGTAATTGTATTTGTGTACAAAAGCCTTTTATATCTAGCGAATACATTTAAATAAATACAAACTATATTATCATTCATACAAATGAGATTTATCAGGTTCATCTGATACGGAATGCTGATCGATAATGATACTCATTGTTAAGGACATACAGACTATTAGGTCAATGACGTCACGGCTTTCTAAGCCGGTAGTTCACGTCCCTCACGTTCTCATTTGCATCCTCTCACGCCAGTCACATGATAAACATTATGGTCGTTAAAAGGTGCTGTTGTTTATTTAT